CGTGTGCACACACACATCACTGTTCATCTACTTACCAAACTTTGTTTTCCTTTGTGGCACATATGACCACATGAGTTATACAATATATGCCTGTTGTTGTTTTAGTGGTGGAGGAGGAGGACAATTCAGAGACTTGAGAGTGTAAGCTCCATAACTTAGCAACTTGGGCTGCTAAGCTAATCACTCTATTTCCAGCCCCTTAAACAGCCAGGTTTTCAACAATAACCATTGAATGAATAATCCGAAGAATAAACAAATCACATCTCACTGACTTGGCAGGTGATGATTGGCTGAAGTCGCCACTTGGTTAATTTTCCATGAAAGGTGGTAGGATGAAAGAGAAGAGTGACACCCTGTTCAGGTAGGGTTTTCTCTTAGGTCCGAATAGATCTACTGTGGTTTTGACTCTGTGTGAAAAGACTAATTTCACCTCATCTAACAGCTGCCCAGTCACACATACAGGGTTGTGCTTTGTGTATAGTAGATGCTTTAAGTAATAGGTCATGGTACTCAGGTTTCAAATCAGGCTGATTATTAAAGTAAAAACCTTTTATTGGGTATTAAAGGGAATTTAAGCCTGGGATTTGGCTTTTAAGGGGTGGGAATAGCATCTTTTTGATGTTGGTGTTGTCTGTTTTTTAAACCCTTTAAAAAATTGAGATGTAATTGGCATGTAGACTGTATTAGTTTTAGATGTATAACAATAATGATTTGATATTTAAATACATCATGAAATGATCCTCACAATAGTCTAGTTAAGATTCATCACCACACATAGTTACAAAACATTTTTATTCTTGAGATGAGAAATTTTAGGACCTTCTCTCTTAGCTACTAGAGGCCCAGTGCATGAATTCATGCACATTGAAAGGAAATTAATTAGAAGAAATATTTTAATGTCGTTATTCGCCCTTTCTCTATAATAGAAATGTCAACCAAATTCACAATTGACAATGACAGATTGAAACACACTTTACGATTGGTGCCAGTGAGAGCTTTATATTTATTGTGCATGCATGAATCAATTTAGCCTCATATATATATATATATATATATATATATATATATAATAAACTTGTTTAATTAGAACTACTTTTTAATTTAGCTAAATGTTTCCAGCTCAGTGAAGCACCCCAACTTCTCTTTCAGGTAATTGTCAGCAACATAGTAGAAAATATCAACATGAAACAGATTATTATTGTAGATCACGCAGGGAAAACAAAGGGTAAAATATTTAACTGCAGCAGTGTTTGACTATATTCTGTGCACTGAGAAACCTGAAGTCATTTTCAAGGTCCACCATTTCTTACTTCTTTTCAGTCAGGTCAAGTTTCTAAGCTTTCTAAATCTCTATTTTCTGGTTAATGAAAAGAAAATAGGATTCCACACTACTCCATGACTTCTGTGAGGATCAAATGAGATGAGGCAGGGGAAAACACTTCACAGACATTTGGTTAAAGTGTAAAATGTTTCCACCTGGCTATAAAATAAGTCATGTTCATGAGCTGAAGAAACTCTAAGAAAGCTAGTTGCTAGGGACAGAAGCTGGGCATTGCTATGTGACATCATTACTCGGCACCCACAGCCATCGTTTTTGGGCTGTAGGCCACATTTTGTGTCATGGGTCTAGGCAGCATTGGCTGTAATTTGATAGGGTGTCACTCTGGGGTGGTGGTAGGGCCTGTATCCCACTTGGGGGAAACCGAGTATTGCTTTGTGGGTGCCAGGTCTGTAGTGCCGTTTCTCTGCAAATGGCCAGTGTATATCATGGTAGCTCCTGTGTTGAGCGTCTGCCCCCTGATGGTCAGTGCACATCATAGCCACTGGTCGGATGGTCAAACACTTAGCATGTTAGATTTTTATATATATTTAGTCATTATAGTGTATGTTACATCCCTAGGATTTATTTATTTTGTAACTTGAAGCTTGTATCTTTGACTCCCTTTACCCATTTGCTCACCCAAACCCTTCCTGAACTCTGATAACCACCAATAAACCGTTCTCTGTATCTGTGAGCTTGGTCTTTCTGTTTCTGACTTATAAGTAAGATCATACAATATTTGTCTTTCTCTGTCTGACTTATTTCACTTAACATAATGTCCTTAAGGCCCATCCATATAGTGGAAAATAGCAAGATTTTCTTCTTTTTATGGCTAATATTCCAGTAATTTCATCTTTGAATCCCACAAATCATTAAAGGATTTATTATCTTTGTAATTAACTCTTAATTTATAATTTACTTTTACCCTTGCTTTTCCTCTTATTTCCTGTTTTGGTTTTTCTTTTTAACCACTCATTAATATGTTTACCAGAGATAAACTTGGAAAGAGATGAAAACCTGTTTATTATCTTTGGGTATTATTTTGATATAGTGTCACCCCCACTCTGACCTCTTGTTTGGGTACTTTCTGAATTACTTAGCAAGGTTATGTCTCTTCTGAATACCTTTTAGTTTTACTTAGCCCCAGCTTGACCTGCATTTGCTAAATAACATGAGTTTTCATTGTCTCTGCTTAAAGAAATGGTATGTGAGATATATGATGGATGCACATACCAACATACCACATGTGATCTTCCTATATATGTCACATCATTTCTCCCACCAATTTTCGAAAACATTTGACCTTTAGAGATCTAGGATTTGTCCACATGGAAAAGGAGGGCTAACAGTATTGTTTCCTCTTCGATTGCTTTCCCTAAGGCCACAGAATGGGACCTGGCTTCTCCATTCTATCAGCTTCTCTTAGGTCTTCTGAGACTTCCCGTATGCCACTCTTGAAATACAGAACACTTGATAACATATTTTCCTATTTACTCCTGCACAATTTCTCGACTTCTTTATAATAGAATTGTTTCTCATCTTTGATCACTTTTGTAAATGCTTCTGTTTTTTCCTTTTTTAAAATAACAAATTTGTTGTGCCCAGGTAAATACTTTTTTCATCTCCTGAATAAATACAACATTATGTTATATATAGTTAAAGGATTACTAGGGATTTGGGGGCAGGTTTTAATAGACAGAAATGGAATAAAATTATTGTGTACTTTTAGGAGCAGTAAAATCATTATTGCTGCTCTGTTTGTAGTGAGTGGCTAACACTGGAAAGTTTATAGCTTTTTGATCAAAACAGATCCCATATCTGTAGTTCAGCCAAGCCAATCAACTCTCAAGTCATGTGCATAAAAAACATTTTGTTCTGGTTTTAGTTTATTTTCTCAGTGATGTGTGCTATGGAACTATGAACAGATGGCTACCTAATGACCTGAGTCTTTGCTTAAGGCATCGAACTAGTTACTCTTAAAGGTATGGAAATTTTGCCTGGTCTCATGCCTGTTCCAAGGGAAATCTGATAGCATGGCTCTTATGATTTGATTAATCAATGGTTAATAAATTTAATAAGTGTGTAATTTTTGTTTTATTGGATAGAAATGTCTTTCAAGTGATTTTTCCCCCCTCTAGGGTAAAAGTGGTTCATACTTAAAATTAAAATTTTATATTGAGGTCTCACCAAAATAATTAAACATTACCCTAAATAACTCAAAACACTGGATTTTATTAAAACATATTTTTATGTGTATTTTTAAAAATTATGGCACTGCTTTCTCTCAGAATATGTGCAATTAAACTTTTTTCTTAGAATTCTATATTTAAAATTTTGATCACTAAAATCATATATATTGATTTTTAATCTCTTCCTTTTTAAGAATATTCAAATGAACTATGTAGAAGTAATTTACCATTTGATAGATGGCCGGCTTTGTTTGGTAGCCTCACTATCATAATTGAGGCATGAAATCCTTTAAGTTCTCTTCAGAGAAGGTTTGATAATTTCTTTCTTTCTCTTTTTCTTGCTTTTTATAAACTATTTCTTTTTTGCATTAGACTTGATCTATACAGTCAACCTGCCACATGAGACGGTCAACCTGCCACATGAGACTGTAAGGCTTTTAAGATCATGTGCTGTTGATGCTTTGACATCAACTGAGCCTAGAGTTGGCTTATATAATAGCACAGGCCCAGTGAATGTTTGTTCAATGAAGGACTGATATAAAATAAACGTAGAAATATAAAATGATTATAGATAGTAGTAAAGCCTTAATTCCTTGATCCTATATAAATCAATTTATCAGAATATTTAAATAATTAATATGAGACTAAAGGTCTGAAGATGGTGTCTTGTAGATCAATATTTTGGCCTCTCTGATTAGAATTTTGATGACTTTGTAAACTCCTTCATACAACTGTAGGCTTTTAATTCAGCATCCATAGTGAAAGAGGTAAAAAATTTGCATGATTTAAATTGAGAAAATATATTGCACCTTAAGTAAGAGATATAGAAAGAGATGAGGAAATGAATGAGCAATCAGAGGAAATGAATGAACAGTCAAACTCTGGTATCTTTTATTTATTTATTTATTTAATATATTTTTATTGATTTCAGAGAGTAAGGGAGAGAGGAAAAGATAGAAACATCAATGATGAGAGACAATCATTGATCAGCTGCTCCCCTACACACTCCTTACTGGGCATCGAGCCCACAACCTGGGCATGTGCCCTTAACTGGAATTGATCCCAGGACCCTTCAATTTGCAGGCTGATGCTCTATCCACTGAGCCAAACCAACTAGAGCATTTTTATTTATTTTTAATTTTGGAGAGAGAGGGAGAAACATGGATGTGAGAGCATAACATCAATATTGAACCCACAACCGGGTCATGTGCTCTGACCAGGAAAGGGCGACCTTTTCGTGTACGGGAGACATGGTGAGCATTGCCAGCCATTGTCATCTTTTCATGCTCATTCCAGTCCCCTTCATCTTTGTCTTTTCTCAGGTGCTAACTCTGTCTAGTTCGAGGAGCCCCTTCTCTTACTCCACCATTCTCTAGACTGCTTCTGGAATTGTGATGTGTATCTTTTATAAAATAAACATCTCGTCTCTCTTTTTTTTTTTGTGGTCTAACTTTTGGGATATTAACACTCAGATCTGTTTTTCCTGACAGCTGGCAAACTTCCCCAGGCTGTGCGAGGAAACGGAGCGGATTGTGGCAAACCACATTCGGGAGCGGGAAGGGAAGACCAAGGATCAGGTGAGGAGAGGCCTTCCCTGCTGGCAGGGGCCTCATGGGGAGTGTAAGGTCTCCCCAAGGAGATCTGCTGGTCTCCAGCAGTCGGCATTGTAATGGGAAAAAGAACAGTTAGAACACAACCACATATGTTTATTTTTTTATTTATTTATAAATTTTATACATGTGTTGCTATACTAACATCTTGTGTATGTTAGGGATATAAACAAATATAAAGACTTTAGAAGAATACAATTGAAAACACAGTAATAGGAGTTCCATTATTTTTTCTCACCACCCCATAGATCATAATGTGTACCCCAAGCATGTATACAGCCCACTTTGAGAACTACTAATCCAGAAACAGAGCACTTTTTCTTATTTAAGACAGGGTTTTTAAGATTTTAATGGGCCCAGAGATGGGAGCCAAGATAGTCCTAGATTCCTAAAATGCTATGCAAAATGTTCAGTGTTCTGATTTTCTTTGAGAATAATGGACAAAGCTATTCTTTAGCATACCCAGGGAACCTTTCATTGAAAAAGAAAAACTTTTCAGAACAGTTCCTTTAAACATTTCTAAACTATTTTGTAGAAGAATATGGTGTGTAAGGATTGACCTTGACATTCCAGCGTGGCTCTGTGAATCCAAAAGATTCTTTTCAAGTGAAGATAACTCATTAAAAAAAATGGAAGAACTCCAGGAAGATAAAAGCTTCTTAAATTTAGGTGGACTTTTTTCCTGTTATTTATAAGACATTATAATGGGGAACACGACGGTTTTCAGATGCTGGTAGAGGCCAGGACACAGCTGCAGGTGTGACAGCAGCGCAAGTACTCTGTGCTCACAAAGTCACAGCTTGTCTTTGTCAAATCACTCTAGGACCTGTTTTCTCATCTATGTGACATGGGGAAGTTATTATTGCAAGATTTTGTGGGCAGAGGAGGAAAGCAGAATAGGAGAGAGAGAGAGAGAGAGAGAGAGGGAGGGAGGGAGGGAGGGAGGGAGGGAGGGGGGGGGAGGGAGGGAGGGAGGAAGGGAGGGAGGGAGGGAGGGAGGGGGGGGAGGGAGGGAGGGAGGGAGGGAGGGAGGGAGGGAGGGAGGGGGGGGGAGGGAGGGAGGGAGGGAGAGAGAGAGAGAGAGAGAGAGAGAAAGAGCACAGGGAACACATGCAATGGAGGCTGAGGTGAAAGGGTCGAGTGGAGTAGAGGGACAAAGTGGAGGGTGGGGCTGGAGGCCCAGCAGTACTGTTCTCACACTGAGGTGCAGATTCATCACTGTTTATCTTAGTGCTTTGAAAGTTTATTAACCGTTATTCATAGTTTTCACTTGTTTTCCAACATTCACACCTATGGAGAGCCAAAAGTGGAGCAAATAGGCTTTGTGACTTAGCAGGAATAAATAAAATCAATGTTAACTCAGGAGCCAGTGAAATCAAGCCCACATATGTCATGCTGAGCCCCGAAGTTTCCCCACACCTAACGTCATGGCTGCTGCCTGACCAAGAACACTTAGGTTCTAGTGTCATCTGTGCTTGAACTGACTTTGGGTCAATAGATAGCCATTTTAATTTAGTGGCTTTATTCTACAAAATTTAAATAATACTATTTCCTACTTAGCTCTTCGGAGAGATAACAGTATTTAGGGAAAAGTAGTATCATTATTATCTTTGTATTCATATCTAACTGAGTTAGCATTAGCTTCCTGTTTCTTAGCATTGTTAGGGCTGTGGGCCCCAAGTTCCCCTCGCCCGAGTTCGAACCCAGATCTTCCTAAAAAACAAACAAACAAACAAACAAACAAACAATGTATGTGGGCATCTTCCCACTTCGGTTTCCTCACCTTCAAGTGGGATCATGATGGTAGTTAACTCGTAGGCATTTTGAGAGGATGAGACGCAATAACCCAAATATGGCTGCAGCTCATCAGTCATTTTAGTTGTTTTTCCCAAAGAGCCATGATACAGTGGGTATGAGGAAGAATGACCTTTTCTCTTTGCAAGGGACCTTGTCTTTCCTCTGCACCTCTTAGGTGCTGATTAATCAACTCTCCAAGGGGGAGATGAGATGGGTGGGTGTCTCCTCCCAAGTGACTACCTCAGGTGGCCCAAGGAAGCTAACACTTGCCCTAGGTGGAACTACGCCTGGTTCAGCTTTGTGAACATGTCCATTGCACAGCTCTCACATCTACGTCCTGCCCTCCCTACTGCCTTGGTACCCTCCTTCTCTCCCCTCCCCCCCCCCAACCCCATAGTGGTCGAGTGGCCAGTGTCCTCAGGCCTCTGCACTAGAACTGATTAGCAATGTCTATATATATATATATATATATATATATATATATATATACACACACACACACACACACACACACACACACACACATACATATATACCTTACCTAATAAAAGAGAAACATGCAAATTAACCATCACTCTGCTATGCCCACAGACAATCAGAATGAGTATGCAAATTAACCCAACAAAGATGGAGGTTCATTTGCATATGTAGGTGCAGAGCAGTGTGAAGCCTGCTATGAGGGGAAGGGGTTGCAGCTGAGAGAACTACTGGAATGGTGCTCTGGACAGAAGTGATGACTTGCTGGCTCCCAGCTGCCTGGGAGCAGGGACATGACAGCTCCCAGGTGGCTGTGGGGTGGCTGGGGAGCTAGGACATGCCAGCTACCCGGTGGCTGGGAGTGAAGCCAGGGGAAGGAAGGCCTATTCTTGCACGAATATCGTGCAACAGGCCTCTAGTGTATGTATGTATATGTGTGTGTGTGTGTGTGTGTGTGTGTGTGTATACATACATACATACATACATATATATGTATATATGTGTGTATATATATATATATATATATATACACACATACATACACACACACACACACATATATATATTTTAAATGGAACTATTATGAACTTCTGCTCTGGCAGCTTTGTGGGAGGAAAAATTCTTCAAAATTAAAAATATGGAAACCAATAAATCAGTCTGTGAATTTTTTTCTAAAACAAAGGGCTTTTGAGTACCTGTATGTGCCTGCAATTATTCCAGGTGCTCCCAAACATGAGAGTGCATGTTGAAGTGGTCGGCTTTGTGGGCGATGACTGCCCCCAAGGATAGCTTTACTTTTTTTCAACTCCAAATTGAGTAACGGGGGGTGAGAAAGGCACTGAGAAACTCTGGGAAAATGAAAAAAGTGAGAAAAAATGTACTCTTTTCATTCCCCATATGTGACCTGGCTCTTTTCCTAGGATGAACACAGACTCCTAGTTTCCAGGAATATGAATGAGAACAGCCGTAGTTTTTATTTTTTCCACTTTTTTCCCCCTACACTGCAGTCCAAGTTAATGTGTGAGAATGTCCAAGACATTTACGACAACCTTGGCAATGTTGAAAATTATGTAGATATTTTGCTCTTTATGTTGGTAACAATTGACTTGTGCTTCAATTTGATGTTTTGTTTTGTTTTGTTTTTTTCATACAAACTCCTGACCAAGTAGATTTGAGAGTATAACAGAACCTGGCTTCGGTATAGGAAGAATAGAGGCACTACCATAGATAATCTAATAAAGATCACTCTTCCTAACTCTTCAGTTGCCTTCATTTACAGGAGAAACTAAATTATCTGATGGTAGGAAATTTTTCATACAAGTATGATGTTTCTGACCCAGTAGCTTTAACTTTATGTTTGAAAGTGATGGTGGGTTTGGGGTGACCCATTTACTCATTTTGGAAGGTCCTCTTGGGACTCACAGCAAGAATTGGTGAGGGGACCAGCTGAGATTCCCCACAAAAGCAGAGTCTCAGAGCCCACCGCATTGGGTAGTGCATGAGAAACCATGACCACATACTAATTACATGGGAGTAAGTTGTGCGCTTGAAAACAAGCTATTGTTCAGAGCTGGGAGATAGTTCTGAAATTTACAGCCACAGGGATTTATCGGACACTTGCTATGTGTAGTGTGCTAGGTTCTGGGGATCAAATGGTGAACAAGACACATGTAATCCTTGTTCCTCGGAAGCTGACTGACAAGGGATGCAAACGGAATTGGTGCTAACCACCACACATACGAAGTGTAGGCTGCAGTATACGTAAAATATGACACGTAGGCTACATGAGAGTAATATCACCATTCATCCTGGAGTGGGGTGAGGATCATGGAAGAAGTCTTCCCCAAGAAAGTTCCCACAGGGGAGCAATCTGTAGACTATGTCAGTTAGCTTCACCATGAGTGCTCTGCTGAGCTCCAGTGTCACCTTCCGTGTAGGGAGGCAGCGTGGGGTCATCGCGGTCATTAAAAGTTCATTCAACAAAGCCTAAGAGCAGAGCTCTGGAGCCACATAGGCAAGAATTCTTAAGCATTGTTCCCTACCAACAAAACTCAGCATTCTAGAAAGACATGGGGACTGTTGGGAGAACAAAATGGAAACTTAGGAAGGGGAGCTCAGTTTTGAGTAACTCTGGAATAAAGCTCTCCCACAGTTTCTGTGTGTCCCACTCTCTTCTTGTTCTCTAAGTCTCCTTGTCTGCCACTGAAGAATATCTTCTACAGAGGGCCCTTCAAGTCTCGGACTTAGAGTTTATATAAATATCTTGTGATCAGTACATTTTCATGTTTACTGGAACATGTATCCAGTTCATTCCTTGACAAATCTTGGTTGGATTTATATGCTATTTCAGGCTGTGTTTTACTCTCTGGGATATAGCAGTGGCTACAGCAAATGGGGTACATAAAGATGACTTGTGAAAACTTCCTATGTCAGCTAGTCTAGTGTTACAAGAGGAAAATGAGCTCGAGTCATAGGACAGAGAGTAAGAAGACAGGATGGGCCAGGAGGATCCCCGATGAGGTGATCTTTTAGCAGAGAACTGACTGAAGTCTTGCTGTGATGATGATGCTTATTTATCTCAAGAAGGCTTTCTATTTATTTGTATATTGCATTTTTGAGTGGGTCAATGAGATGCTTCTGCTTGCTTATAGGGAGCTGAATGAAATAGAAGAGGAGAGGAAAAACAGGAGAGGTTATTGCTATTTTGGGGCTAACATATGGTGTCTATGGGAGAGGAAGCTCTGAACAGCTCCTCACTGGCCTTCTTGCTATGTGTCCTTTTATACATGTGTGTCCTGTTTAACATGCGTGCCCTTCTTTTGAACACCATTCCTACATTTTAGGGGAAGAGAATAATTCTAGGTTCTGTGTTACATTGGCCAAGAGTGCATGCCTTAGCAGTTATAATGCTCTTGTCTTCTTGTGGGAATCAGACTTTTCATGGAGAAGTTCAATTTCTAAATTTAGAGTAAAAATTACAAATTTAATGAAGCAAAAAATTAATGCCCCTTTTCATTTTCACTGAAGCATTCTTTAAAAATTCTATGCAGATAATTTGCAGGCAATTGCTGACTTTAGTGTTTGAGAATATTTAAGATGTATTTCACTGAAGCGTTTCTCTTCGACTTACAGGTACTACTGTTGATTGACATCCAAGTCTCCTACATCAACACCAACCACGAGGATTTCATTGGCTTCGCAAAGTAGGTGGAAGACTCGATTGCTGCGTGCGTTCCTCCTGCTGGTCTGTCTAGAATACACACTAGGAATTTCTCCCACAACCCCATCCCCTCTTGAGAGTGCATTCTGGGTCAAGGTTAAATCTGAGCAATCCTGTTAGAGAGGTGTGAGCCTTATGGCCGTGGGGCCAGGCTCTCTCCACAAAGTAGTTGGCTCCTTGGCTGCACAGCATGTGGGTCACATGTGTCTTAGACAGTCATTGCTTTTGGATGACCATCCGCAGTTTGTACTTGAACTCCCATAGATAAGCAGGAACAGATGCACATTTAAAGTATGCTTGGGAACAGTTTCTCACATTAATTTGAAATAGAAAGTGCTGTTCACAAGATATTCCTAAGTTAGAATATAGAGCCTATTTTTTAAAAAACGGTCTTTTGTGAACTTAGATGTAATTATAGGGGGTGAACATTCTCTTTTTATAATATATATCTTATGTAAGCTTGTTTCTATGTTGCTATTTTATCATACATGTATTTTATTATATTATTAATTTTTTTTCTTTATTGATTTTGAGAGAGAAAGAGGAAAAAACAACATTGATTTGTTGTTCCACTCATTTATGAATTCATTGATTTATTCTTGTATGTACCCTGACCTGGAATTGAACCCAGAACTTTGACTTACTAAGACAATAACCAACTTAGTTACCACCAGGGCTTGTTATATTCTATAATATTCTATCTCTACGTTCACAGATATCACTTTGTAGATATTATGCTTAGTTATTCAGAGCTGGTTATTAGTGTGGCACTCACCATTTTTTCTTGCCCTACAGTGGAACTAGTTTTTGTTTGATTCTAACTCTAAAATGTAGTTGTGGCATGTAAATGGTTCGAACTTCAAATATATGATATAGTCTATTTTCTATAAAAAATAAAGGGGACTATGTATTTGAACATGTATTCAAGAACAGGGGCAAATGAAAAATAAAACACAACAAAATGTAAAGCCAATTACAGTCTGATTGAAAAGAAACAGAATGTAAAACCATGTGATTTAGACCAATCCCTGGCTGAGGAGCTGACAGACATGTTTTAGGGCGGAAAGGCTCAGTTATCCAACAGCAGATTGTCTCCTTATAAAATTGGCTGTGGTGGTGATGCCGAACCAATGGTGTACATATATTTGGAATCCAGCTGTGGCTACTGTTGTGCGGTAGATGTTTTTCCACTACTGTTTTGTCTGTGACCTGTGTGTGGAGGTGTTAGAACACAGTATTGATTTTGCTCCTATGGTCAGTTGTCTTGGTAGTGACACTGTCCACACAGACCCACCCATCCCTTTAGCCCCTATGACTCCCCCATCTGCACTGCTCACTTCCTCCTGTAGGTCCCGTGTGGGAGGAGGCCTGGACACTGTGATGCCTCCTTGTCCATCATCCTGGAAGAGGGGACCTGAGAAATTCTGCCTGGTTTGCAGCATAGTCTGTGACCACCATGTGGCCTGTGCCGAGCTCTACTCTTTGGGGGAAAATACAAGGAAAAGAAAGAAAAAAATAATCATTTTTGTCTGTTGGGAGTTTGCCTAATAATTGAAAAGTATAGAGAAACACATGTAACATTTTAAGTCGGCACATTCTCCATTCCCTTCTCTTGCTTCCTTGAGGAATTGAAAAGAAAAACAAATCCTTGAGTAATTTTAAAGAACAGGAATGCTGCCTTTAAAAGTGATCTTTATTGATGACAAATGCTAGCTAGATGTAAACTCGAGCCCATAACTTAACAGTGTAAGGGACATTGCCATGCCACCTCATTGTGGTCTCCTGAGCCAAGGAGAAAATGTAGAAAAAGTCATAATCCATTTGGGAAGATTCAAATTTTGAACAAAATTTGTAACCAGTGCTACAATTTAAATTCCAGCCTAGACTCTTCTTGAAACACTTGCTTGATTACTTTTTTAACTTCTTTTCAAATGATAAATGATCCGGAGTTTACTTCACCTCAGAAGCTGTTTTGACTATAGCATTATATTGACCAGGCTTTCAAAAGCATATAGTGTTGCAAACGTGAACACTTTTAAATGCAACCTTTCTAATGCAGTCTCTGTAATCCAGGCAACTGCCCCATTTTTCCAGCCCAGAGATAGACTACAAGCCTTTATGATGTTGGGGGAGAAAAAAGAAGCCTTGTTCAGACCACATTAGACGTGGGGCAGCTTTGCACATTTTACATCCAGATGAAACTCGCACCTGAACTTCCTTTTGAAGGCCAGGTCTGGGAGTCAGCAGTCGGATCAGTTTTCCAGGATTTGCCGCTGATGAGCTTTGGGCTTTGCCAAGTCGCTTAGCCCTTCTGTAGCTCAGTTTACTGCTCTATCAAGTGGAATAATAAATAACCCCCCATCGTATACCTTTTAGGATTGTCAGGAGATCAAATTAATGAAGTGTTGTGAAGCTGCTTTTGAGAACTGGGGTGTAGTCTGTAAAAATGAGAAAGTGGTACACACACACACACACACACAGATATACAGACATACACACACACACACACAGATACACAGACATACACACACAGAGATACACAGACACACAGATACACAGACATACACACACACACAGATACACACACACACAGATACACAGACATACACACACAGAGATACACAGACACACAGATACACAGACATACACACACACACACATACACAGACACACAGACACACACACACACACACACACACACACATTTTCTACCTATTTGTTAAACACAGAGGAATTTCTATTTAATCCCTAATTTTACTTTGTTGTGAAATTGATGATTGGAGTATGATTGCCACTAGAATATTTTTAGACACCAATATTATCTCCAAATGTGATATTCTGCACTGAGAATCAGAGGTAGATGTTCTTTCCATTGTATGCTGAGTTGGAGTATATTTCAGTGGGATTGAGATGAAGAAATGTTCATTTCATTATTACTTTGAGGGGTTGTGGTTTTTTTTGTGTTTTTGAAAGTATGGTTGTAGCTATAAATTTTAAAGTTGGCAGGATTGCTCTTTTCATCAAGGAAGAAAAGTCAAGCCATACTTGAAGACAATTATGTAAGTATTTTTAAGTTCTAGAGATAGAAAATTAAGGTCTCAAGTTGAGGAAAAGAAGAATTTGTTTTATGAGATTTTTAGAGAATTATCAAAAGACAACCACCTCTAAGTTTATAGAATGGTGATGTGCATAGTATTTTACACATGTATTTTTTTCTAAAAATTTTAAAAACAAAGTGTTCAAGGTAGAGTAATGGAGTAGGCATTCTCAGAGTAGTGTTCAGACATCTTGAAATTCTTCTGCTTGCTACAGCATTTACTCTGCCATGTTGAATACGTGGAACATTTTTTCCCCCCTCCATTTCCCAGCTGTTTGTTAAACACAGACCGTAAAATATGTACCATGTGTCATGGGTCCAAGTTAGCGCTGCTGTAGGCTTGCTTTGGAATTTCCTGATTTCTGAAAGCTCGATCTTTTAACTATTGTATAATATAGTTTCTGAACCTAAACATCCGGTCTTCCAGAAGAAAACGTCAACTTTCCTCATGATTTAAGGATTTTAATTTGTCATTGTTTCTTGTTAAAAAACAAGCAAATAGCCCCACAGTCTTTTTTTATCTTTTTACACCATGTCACTAGATTTTATTACATAAATATATATATATATATATATATATATATATATATATATATATATATATATTGATTGATTGATTTTTTTACAGAGAGGAAGAGAGAGGGATAGAGAGTTAGAAACATCGATGAGAGAGAATCATCAATCAGCTGCCTCTTGCACACACCCTTCTGGGGATGTGCTCGCAACCAAGGCACATGCCCTTGACCGGAATCGAACCCGGGACCTTTCAGTCCGCAGGCTGACGCTCTATCCACTGAGCCAAACAGGTTTCGGCTAATTTTTATTATTTAAGAAAACAAAGCTACTCCACTTGTTTCTTCATTCACTTTCCCTGTCTCAAGAATCCTGCTCTTTGAATAGGAAGGCCAACAAGGTTTTGTTAGCTGAATGCCCATGAAGGTGAGTTTTCAAATTGTCATCTTCTTTTGCATTTGTTCCCTGGGCAGGAGTTTTAACTTCTGACTTACTGAGATGTCAGCAGTTTAATAGCTTACAAGCACATTTGGGCTCTAGATAGGAACCAGTAGACTAATGTTTTGATTACACCAGCATTGGACTAAGGTCTGTTTTCCCCTCTGGGGAGTAGGTCCCAGCACCCGTTTTCTCACAGTTGAAATGACACAGTGGACAGATTTCAGTGCTGGTTATATGAGCACCATGAAAATCTTTCAGGTTGTGACATTCATGATATCTCTTTCCTCATCGTCCGGAATGCTGGTTGCCATTTGCCTAAAGGCAGTATATGTGGACCTTGGCCCCAATTCCAGAGACATCATTCACAGCCTTAGTATATTTTTTCATCATGTATAATCACATTTTATTATAACAGTGTTTCTAGTTTATATTCTTACATGAGAACATTCTCTTGTGGAATCAAAGCCTAGGCCTTAGATTAGAACAAGATCCTTCTTTTGTCTCAGATGCAAATTTAGGGATTAAAGGCAGGTGGAAATACAGACCTAAACAACTTGCCAAGGACAATCCAGAGTGCCACGTCTTCTAGTAAATTTTATGTTCCGGTGTTCCAAGCAATGTTTTAAAAATCAGTGGACTTCTACTATTCTCTTTCGTTCTCAGAGCTGTTATTTTGAATTTTATCTTCAGCCTTAAAATGGATCTTAGTAGATGAGTCATCCTTCTTTCGTAGGGCCCCATATCCTGGAGGCTTTTCTTAACATAATATTTAGCCTGAGACTGCACTGAGGATCTTGCAAGGGGGAATACAACTTCTTTCTCCTGTTGGCTTCCATCTGATTGGAGGAGGCAGGCCGGTACATGATACGTCACACTCTGGGGACTCTCAGCATGTTTTTATAATATCATTGGGGTAATAAAAGAACATTCTA